GTAACCTTTTAACGCTGCGGACCGGTCAACGTTTGATAATTTTACCGCGGCCCTTCTGATGGTGGGACACGTTGATTGTTTATATTTTAGATTGCTTTGATTTAACAATTTTAATTTAGTTACATTTAAATACGCCTTCAGAATAAAATATAGTTACACCAAAAATGAATAAAAGTGATATTTAACGTGGAATATAAAGTGATTTCCGTGGAAAGTTGCTCAAATCTGAGAGATATGCACCACTTTAAATAAAATGGCAATAGTTTAATGTTCCTTAGGCGGCCCGGCACCATTTGATCCACGGACCGGTACCGGTCCGTGGACCGGGATCGGATCACTGTTCTACGGTATGAAGGTTAGGAAAGAAATAATTTTAAAAAATAATTCAAAATTTAGTATTGCCACAAAGGGTTTAAATTTTCGAAAAAAAAAAAAACGTCTTACTTTTGGTTACATCATTTTAAACTCAAAATAAAAATATTTTTCTTCTATATAAGTACCAAAACGATAATTATTGATAAATGAGTACCAAATAGTGAGTAGTAAAATGTGCATTGTAATATTAACACGCTTTTATAAGTTTCGCTTGTATGTAACGGAATCTTTGAGCTCTATTTTTACTCGCTTTAAAAGGTCAGGTTAATTTCGAAATTTTGCACACTTGTCAAGGATCGATGACAATACAATAATTTCATAATTTCGTTCCATTGTCCTAATCAGGATCATTAGAAATAGCGATTTCCAGATTTGGCGACTAATTCATTATACCGTTTCCAGATTTGGCGACTAATTCCATAAACCATTTAAAGATTTAGCTACTAATTCCACACATACCATTTCTAGATTTGGCAGCTAATTCCAGATTTCCCGACTAAAAGATTAAGTTGGAACCCTATAAATGCGAAAAATTTGCGTCAGCAATTTCCTATAATATAAACAGCTATCTAATTTTTCTGAAAATAGAAAAAAAAGAAGAAAAAAAAATTCTGTTCTAACCCAGCTTTTCTCAAACTGTGAGGGGCCCTTGAGGGGACATGATGATCCTACGTGGGGGCCACGAGCATATAGAAAAGTCCAAAATAAAAGATTTAAAATAATTATTAATTTACCGAAATGAAGCAAAACAAAAATACATTCTGACGTGATAAAAAATAAAATATATATTCACACTGATATAAGATACTTATAAATGAATCACAGGGAGGCAAAAAGTATTTAATAATTGATTTATCAATACTAAATTAAAAGCAAGTTTAGTAATTACTAGTGACTTCCATGGGCTTGTCATATACAAAATATAATACATACGTATATTGAAAATATGTGCAGTTTATAATATATTAAAATCGCGTTGCAGCTTTAGCGTCGAAGTACATTGTTATCGCATTCAATACATTGTTGTTGTATGAGAGGAGCATGATGAAAATTATGACTGAAAATTGGGTCATAAATATGGAAAGTTTGAGAAGCACTGTTCTAACCACTAAACTCAGACATAAAATCTGTTTTTCTAAATTCTCTTGTCTAATCTGGGGAATGAAATATCATTCAATGCTTCATTTTACTAAAACAGCTGAGGAATTTGATTTGCAGTCCTTCGGATAAAAGCCATTTATACCAAACTCTCTGATTCAAAAAGTGTTCTTTTTAAATGTTCTTTAGGGGTATTCAACATATATAATACTGATGCAAAAGGATTTCAGAGAGAATATTTGGAGGAGAATACTTTTAGAGAAAAATATCATTGATTTCGCAATACACTTCTTTCGTAAAATGTCTTTCAGGCTGGGCTCTTTTGAATTTCAGCTGGTTAGGCAGGTCTACTACATTTTGCAAAACCAGGTCGTATCGACGCCCTGATAGGATAATCAATGGGTATTCCAGATTCTAAAAAATGCGCGCAGATTAATTCATCAAAGAATATAAGTGATAGGTAAAAACTAAAATGCATGCCTTTATTGTAAATCGAACTAAAAAATGAAAAATTAAATTATAGTTTAAAAAAAATTTAAGAAACACATTCTTTCATGTTAAATCGACCTAAAGAGTAAAAAAAATGGCGAATTGCCAATATAGAATAAAATGATTAAAGGTATCCGACTACGCGTTCCGGAACCGTGATTTCAAAAAAGCTTTTATAAAATGGATAAATGTTCATAGTATTTAATTATTTACATGTAAAATTGTTTGGGACATATTATTGACAAATTTTTTTTATTTAAATGCAATGCTTTGGCCAAAATTAACTTAGAATAATCTTATTTCCAAAATGTTCTCCTTTTGTGAAAATGCTTCCTATTTTTAATGTTTTGCCTGTATATGGCTCAGACCTCTGTACAGAAGCTCAGCTGAGCTTTTGAAAATTCATTATTTTCAGAGTTACAAACCATTAGAATAAAATTATCAGCGTTTTTCTGCGTTTCTACACTGTCATAAAACATGGATAAACCCACTAATAAGTTATATATTTAGAAAATTCTATAGTTTGGATTGAGCCTCTATACAGAGGTCACACAAGGCTGTATACAGGCAAAACATTGTGTGTAATAGAAGTTAGTTTTCACAAAGAAATTGGAACATTTTGAAAAATTATTTTAAAGACTAATTTTTTGCAAAATATTGTATTTAAATAATTTTTGTCAAAATGTCCCATACAACAATTTTATACATGTATTCTAATCTAAGTGCCACTAAACATCATGAAATTATCCATTTATTCTGGCACTTTTACAAAATCATGATTTCCACACACACAAACGTAGTCGGATACCTTAACGAGAAAATTAAATGTAATTGGGAAAAGCGTGGGGGTGCTTTGTACACATCAATGCTTCAAGCGATTTTACTGTTTGCGACCCAATATTCAATCATAATTTTCATTGCACCCCTTCATACAATAATAATGTCTGTTAAAACAACCAACACTAAACTTTGACTCAGCTACAACACAACTTCAACCTTAAAATTACCCACCGGCAATATCTCAGCCATCCTCTCAACCCAAATGATAATTACCCCGGACGTATATATGCATCTTTCCAGTACAGTCTCTTTTTGTACTAAAATAATTACATAAATGACAGGTGCAACAAAAGGACATTGACAGTGTTGCAGAAGGTTTACATATTCATAGGATTTGCTTATTTATTCCTTTTCTTCCCCCCTCCTCAAAATATACATCATACATTGTTGCGTCTACGTGAAAACAGTTAGCGTGGGGAAGGATTTGAGTAATTTTTAATTGCAGTTAAGATATTAATAATAAGAGCCATTTTAATTATCAAGATAAGTATTGTTTTTGTATTTAATTTTTGTATGACAAACCATGCAGGGTCACTGGTAATTTTAAACTTGTTTAACCCAACTTAGAATTGTTAAATTAATTATAAAATTACATGGTGCCCAGTACTGATACATTTTATAAGTGTATTATAACCAACTACAGCGTACACATGTGTATTTATTTTTATGTTAGAATGTATTTTGTCTGTTCACTCCTCTTTCCTTAAATTAATAATTTTCTTAAATGATCTTTTGTTTTCGACTTTTCAATATACTCGCGCCCCCTCGTAGAGCTATCCGCCCTAAGGGAACGCCCTGATTTGAAACGCTGCTACATTTTACACTAACTCAGCATTTCGGAATAGAACTAGTAGGAAATTATAACAATTGATACAGGCACTTTATTTGCTTGCTTCCCAACTGACAGTAAAATTTCCTCGATTTAATTATTTTATTCTATTAAAGGGAGTATTTTTTAAACTTTTTTGGTACTGATTTAACATGAAAATCACTGTTTAATTTTTAAATTTTATAATTTTATAACCCTAACTCTGTTTTTCCCCGTACCGTCAATTAGAGCAACAATCATGGACACTACAGTTTTGACTCCCAATTTTAAAATTTTAATAATAAAAGAAGCTATTAAAATTTTACCGATATATATATTTTTTGTATAAACTCCTAAGAAGGTATGACTGCCCCTAAATCGAAAATTCTTAAAATTCTTTCAGGTGATGGTACAGTTTTTATTTTATAGAACAATTTTATTAACTGTAAAATACAAGTATTTTGTTTCCATTCACTTCGGGCGAAAACTAGAAGAGTGCTTTAGTAAAGCAGATGCCTGCTTTTTAAACAAGATATCAAACTTTAAAATGTGTTTTACTCAAAATGTGTGTGTATGTGTGTTTTGAAAATGCTCAAAGCGGGGACAGTGATTGCTGAAGTTTGAAAATAATTAATTGGAATTTTTGTGTATGTTCTGTGTAATAACAAGGAAGTGTTTCAACTTTCAGATTTATGTAACTGTTTTATTAAAAAATTAACGTCTTTATGTGAATACCAGTAAACTGTTTTAATGATTTGTAACTAAAATAAAATAAACTAATTGTAGATAAAGTGCTCTAGTTTTAGAAAAAATTAAATATCTGCAACCTAGAAGGTCATTTCAAAAAATAAATACAAAGTAACACATCAAAATTAGAAAAATTCAGGGTGTTCAAAAGCTTTTTGTACAAAATGGGCCTCGTTATATAATTTGTTGTCGAATTTTACCCATTTAGAAATAATTATTTCTTTTTCTCTTCTTGTTTTAGCATTTTTCTTCCGTACTGGTTAAATAAATCTAAAACGCAAAAAATTTTCCCTCTATCCTCCTTTTTTTTAAAAAAAGGTTTACATGCCTGATAGTTGGATACTTTAAGGCTGCCAATTCAGTCCCTTTAGTAATTTCACATTTAAAAGCAACAGGGGAGTTTTCGACAAAGGCTTTCTTTTCTTTGGCTGCTTGCAGTATAAAATGTCCGGGTGGAATCTTGCGAAGCTTAACTTTGAAGTGATGTCTTCAACCGATTTAGACTAAAATTTTGCTTCGCGCTTTTTAGTTTGAATGACAATGCATGTTTGACGATTTATATTCCAATATCAACCTAGTTACTATAAAGAGATCTTGTTCAGGTGTTAAGGCGAGCATGTTTGCAATAATAAAGGTGTGGACCGGGGGCGTAGCTCCGGATGGTAGAGCGCTCGATTAGCATGCAGGAAGGTACGGGGATTGATACCCCGCGCCTCCAATTATTATTTGTTAATTGTAAAATATTTTTTGAAATTCGATTTTGGTTACATTTCAACGGATATTTTTACAATACTTCCCTCATTTACGTACAAAATATGTTATATTTTACAATCTTTTTTAACTTACTATGTAAATTGTTCAGGAATTTGAATCACACCTTCAATTTTGAAGCTGATTTTTCAGTAGCGGTAAATAAAAGCAAATTAAATAACCGAGCCACAAGTTGATTTTAATTTTTTAAAATTTTTCAATTTCATATTAAATACGAGTACTTAAATCTCGCGACAAGCTTTGCTATCATGGTATGTAACGACTTTATAGTTTAAAGTAAAAGTTTTGAGAAAGTTTATTTTATTCTTTTTAAGAGCATTAAATAAAAGCTGGTTTTAAAGTTGTTTTACTTTTAATTTATTTTAACTACTTTTAAGTGCCGCGAATGACGTTTGAGTTGACCTCAACCTTAAAATTTTACACATTAGGCAAAGCCTTGACAGATTGCAACATCATCTCATTACACGGATGCAGCACCAATACTGAGTTCCTTCATTTAATGGCAGTTTTCCTACTATCTATGTGTTTTTCAGATATGATTGATAAGATATTTATCCTCTTGTTTGCCAGGAGCAAGCCTATATATACATATATATATATATATATATATATATATACATAAGTTTCTAGGTCATTACAACACCAGACTACAATAATTTTTCATCTGAACTTTCTTTTCGTCATAAGAATCACGGCAACAAAAAAAATAAAATTACAAGGGATAACACAAGCCTTTTGTAGTTTCGTCCCATAAAACCGCGAGCATAACAAAATACAAATTAGGAATTGATTTATGATATAGAAATAAGCATTGTTTAAATAGGGAGAAAAATAAAATAGTAAATACAAATATTTTTCACTTATTCAAGCGGATATGAGTAAGTTTTATTGACAAAGACAAATATATACCATATATGTATTTAATTTTGAAACCTCAAGGACGTGTAACCTTTCAAAGTAAATGTTGTTGGAAAAATATTCTAGATTTACCCAGACGAAGGCAGAGATAAAAAATCTGCGCTTTCACACTATTTTTAGGTACAATGACTCATGTATTCATGGATTATATTTCACGGTATGAAATACTAATAGGTAAAAGAAAAAAAATACTATTACTTTATTTCCGGTAGAAGCAAATGAATTGAAATCCTATTTGATTTTCGCTATAAAACAAGTGCGTGCTACTTTTAAAATTAATTAACGCCAAATATTTTAATCAAAATAAATCAGAATATTTTAATTTAGCTACAGAAAACTTTAAAATTTTGAAAAATTATTAAAGGTTATATACACTGCTACAAAACTGTTAAAATTAATATAATAACTTACATAATAATTATTTGCAATGTTGCATATAGAAACCAAATTATTTTTAAACTACTGAAAAAGTCATGCACAACTTTCAGAAGATCAGATTAACACTAAACAAGTAAGTATACAAATATTTTTTTTTGAAAGTCAATTCCTACTTTTGAATGGAAGATATAAAAGTATTTAATAACGATTGAAAATTTGAATAAGATATATATATATATATATATATATATATATATATATATATATATATAACTATATATATATATATATATATATATATATATATATATATATGAAGGATTTCGATGAACTAATATATATAGTAGGAATTGAATAAATTCAAAGATATTTTTTCCATACCTCAAGTTTCTGTGCTTATACATACCTATTATACTATTGAAAAATACTGCGTTACTTAAAAAAATAGAAAGAATTTTCTTTGTTTTCTTTGTTTTTAACTAATAATTAAATAAAGCAAATGTTTTTAGCACTCATTTTGTTTGCAATTTCATGCAGATTTCCAGATCAGTTTACGAATCGCTAAATATGTTTTGCAAGCTCGGAAGTTTGAGATGAATTACAATTAACCAATATTGTGTTGGCGGAATCAGCTTTCCAGGAATTTTTCACGGAAATTTAATGCAATGTTTGTTTCTCGACGTATTCAGAACTTTGGGTCATTAGCTCCAAATACAGTTTAAATTCTAAATAATATAAAAAAATAATTTAAGACAATTCTACATGGTCAACAAAAGAGAAAATTTTTATTTTGGCATTACTTTTTTATATGAAATAGTTACAATTAATATAAATATGTATATACATAGGACAGAATCATAACATTAAGAGTGGTAATTAATTTTTAATTATCATTAAAGTATCGTATTGTCCTTTTGCAATTTCAGTCAACTGGATACTTTAACACGTAAAGAAAAACCTTTTCACACAAGTTTTGACACGTCGCCAAAGGGTCAACTTCAAATTCCAGCATGTTTTAATATTTTTGCATCATTCTTTAAATAGTGAACAATCCATTAATTTTTATTAAATTATAATTAAGTTATTGTATTGTCATCAAAATGATCCTGTATATAAAATTTCATCGCTTTAAAATGTATTTTTAACGATTTGAAAATTCTACCAGGTCGTAAATAAATATACAAATATATAAATATGATAAATATAATTGGTGCAGGCTAATAGTAGAAATTGAATGAAAATGAAAGAACTAAAATTCTAAGCAAAACGAACGCAAATCTTAAAAAATAGCAGCTACAAAACAAATTCATTTAAGTAAAGACAGCAATTATTTCTGATTTACTTGTTATTTAAAATTTTGTGAAGTAAGAGCGAAAATAGAGTAAAAGATTAAAGGGAATTTTAAAACAGCGTGAACAAAACTGTTTTTATTTTGTGTTTCCTCAGAAATATTTTCCTTCTAAAACATGGTTTTGACTATTTATTATTACTAATAGGTATATTCCAACGAAAGATTAGATTTACCTCGAATTTATTTTATATACCCGATGCTTCCCTTAGATTACACGAGAGTGTACAAATTACATTATTTTTGTAGAAAGGGCCTAATAGACTTTTATATCAAATTTGAGTATTTTTATTCTTTTTGTAACAACTGTAATGCAAGTTTTATGCAGGATCAATATATAATATTAACTAAAATAGTTAAAAAAGTGTGAATGCAGACAGATACTAAAAATATTGATATACATAATTTGTTTTAATTCTAGAACACCACAGAGAGAGTGAGAGAGAGAAATTATATAAAAAGAAAAAATTCTTACCATATTTTTCTCAATTCTAATTTTTCTTTTAAATATTACACGTAACAGAAACTGGAATCCTGGCAGCCAGCCATAGGATTTCAATGTGTTTTTTTTCAAACCATGAAACTGAGGTGTAATAATAATAAAACAGGTATTTTAGTAATTTTGTTTTTCAATACAAACGATTTCTCATGAATAATCTTACAGTAAGTAAAAGGTATTTCTTCACTATTATGCTTTTCGTAAACTTAAAACTTCTCATCTTAAGTATCTGTGTTTTACAGCTCTTAATTTTTTATAACTTATTTTTAGAACCCTGTTTTACAACTTCGTTTGTTTTTTTTCCAATTCCCCTCCCTAATAGCTCGGCTCTGTCTGCTATATTTATATATTTATATTTGTATATTTATATTTATTTTTAACTATCTTGGTGGAATTTTCAATCGTTCATAAAATACATTTAAGCGCTGAATTGCTGAAATTTTATATGCAGGATTATTTTGGATGGCGATGCAAATAGATTTACAATTATAATTAATAAAAAGATTAATTGATTAAAACTAATTATTTAAATAATTACAAATGCAATACACGTTGGCGGCTTAGCGACCCGCCGCGGCGACTTACGTGATATCAAAGAGCACCCACGTAGAAAAGGTTTTTCTCACGTATTTAAGCATTCAGTTGGACGCAAAATTTGGGACAATACGATACTTTAAAGATAATTAAAAAACTAATTACCACTTAATGTTATACAATTCTGTCTATATGTATATACATGGCATTTGCATAATGAATTATAAACTATTTAAATAAAAGTAAGCTAAAATAGATTACCTTTGTTGATCTAAGAGTAGGAATTGACTTAAAACTACTTTATATTACTTATTTTTATAGGAACCAATATTTCGACTTCGTTTATTTATTTTTAATATACAGGGTTGTTTTAGAAAAAATTTTTTTTTGCTTTCCTTCGTTTTTTATTATCGTAATAGCCATGTATGATATTTTCCATGCGTTTTTCAATTATCACTTGCTTCTTTTATTGGGAACATTGTTTTATACTAAAGGGTAATAAGACAAACTAGAACAATTAAAAATTTTAAAAAATGCCTATCCAGAATCAGAACATTTATAAAATTAATTCAGCTAAATTTTCTTTTATTTGGCCACCCACATCATTTAGCTACTCAAACTTTTAATATTCGTGACAATATTCAATCATAATTTTCATTACACCCCTTCCCTTCCATACAACAGCAATTGTATTTGTGTGAACTCAATTATACTAAGTTTTGGCCTCAAGGCTACAGCGCGAATTTGCGCATCTTAAGTTACCCGCGTATATAAACGTCTCCATCAACTGAAAATGTGTTGCTGCAGGATGTATGGCAAATTAACAAAATATAGTCGCTGCCTTCCTCTGTCCATAAATTGGTAGAGCTTTGGAATCACTAAAAGGACTTGGCAGGAAGGGTTTGTATACAGGGGGACATCATTTATCCGCTCTCCGGCCCTCTCCACCCCAAACCCACATCCGTTTGGTTTCTGGAAAACATTGGCATTGGGGCGATTAAAACTTTATTTCCGGCAATTAAGCCGCTAACTATAATTTTTCAGGTTTCAGCGAAAATTGTATCAAACTCATTCTCAAAATGGTAAATAATAAAGGAAAAATATAGAAAAATAAATTAAAGCCGGGTTTTAAATTGAATTTCGTCATTTTTTGTTTTAGAGTACGGCATTTAAAATAAAAACTTTTATATGAGTATTTCATCAATGTAAAATGTTTTAAATTATTCCACTTAGTAATTTATTTCGTCAATAATAGAGGAAGCCTCTGGCG